TGTATTCTGTACACACTGCCCTGTGCCCTAGTCCTTGTGTCAGCTTTCAACAGGCTCCTGAAGTGATTCCTTCTTGGTAATAATCAGGTGAATTTATTTGTAAGGATTGCACCAGAGAGTGTTTTGTGGCTTTTCTCCTCACACAGGAGGTCTCCTGCATCATCCCCTTGAAAGAGCTGCAGAATATGCGAACGCTGCAGCCTGTCTCTGACGGTGGGCTTCCCGGCATAGAACTGAACTATGGCTCAGCTGCCAGCCCCAAGACTATGTGGGTTGAACTGTCACAGGTGAGATCAGCCTGGACCTACAGTTTCCTCCTGGCAATTCAGAACTTGCCCTCCACGGCCCAGCTGAGCCTCTACTAAGAGGCAATATTCCTGCTCTCTTCTGTCCCACAGGTAGATGGGGGCACTGCATTTCCCAGGCCCCAAAGTCCAGCTTTGTCCTAGCACATACGTGATATTTAATTATGGAAAGTGATTTATGGGAATATTTAATTATGAGAACCAGCCATTTCTGGGGCAGAGAATGACTGATACTGATTTGTGTTTTGACAGGCTAAAGAAATGTATCACACAATTGTTGTCATCCTGGATAAAACAGAGTTGCACCACTACAGCCTAAGAGGAGGAGAATGACCAAGCAAACCAGCAGTTCTCCTTTCTTTGAGCTTGTTGAGAGAACTTTTCCAGAAGACATCCATGACCTCAGACAGCTGCTTTCTAAGACTGCCACCACAGTGTTTCTTGATGGACTGGACCATAATCTCACCCCCTGTGACCTGCCATTCAGTTCCCAAGTACTTGATGCATGCAGTGGCTAAACAACCACAAGACACCCTTTCCACACCATTGCTTTTTCATAGCCTGTTCCAACACAGAGCGGCTGAACAGATGCAAGCAATTGCCTTCAAGCTATGCAGTGTGGGACTCTTCTCTTCCTTTTTGAATTAATTAACATGAGCAAAGACTGATGCTTGCTAGAGATTTGTGTATCACAGTGCACAGCTGAGGCTATGAAATGACTGCCCCGGCTGCTGGTGTTTTCCGCAGGGCCGCCTTTTCTCTGTATTGATACCCAAGAGGCCCTATAGCAGGATTTGTGAAGCGGGAGCTCGTAGAAAGCATCTTAATTGCAAAGCAGATCAGTGTTAATATACAATTAACACATATGCTGGGGCACACATTGAGCTGCAATGGTAAGAAAGTTTATTGTTAATTAATTTCTTACTAACATAATTATACGCATATGTTTCCCTCTACTACAAAGAAGTCAGTCATGTCCACGCAGCTGTCATCCTTCAATGATGGCTCCGTGCCCGCGGAGAAAGGGTATTCAAATGGCATTTATATTACAGTAGAGGAGTGTCCTGGGTTGTACAAAAATGCTTAATTTATTTTTATTGCTACAGCTATCCTACTGAACTGAAAAGTATCTGCACTTCAGGAGATTGCAATAAAAAAATCATATAGAGATGTTTTGAAGCTATGACATGACAGACACTGGTTTACATCTGTCGTGGGACGACTGACCTGCAGGTAACTGGCAAAGCTTGAGGAAAAGGTTGTCACTGTTGGCTGGGAAGGGGCTAGATCTGAGAGCGCTCAACGCAAGCCGTGATGCACAGCTAGCTTCTTGCTGGGGAGCTGATGCCAGCAGCAACGTCAGGAACTTCAAGTGCCGCTTGCTGTGGCCTGTGAGGCCTTAGCTGAAGCATGTTCCACCCTCCCCCTTCAGCAGTACTACTGCAAGGCTAGGTAAAGCACCACAGCAACACGAAAGAAAGGAATAGAGAAGATATCTGAAGATTGACTTATCCTTATTCCCCTTCTCTTTCTCTGAGCTTTGGCTGCCTTACATAGAAGCACAACTCACCTCCTTAGAAATGCTCCACATAGTGATAAAGCACTTTGTCACACAAACCATGCCTTAGCCAGCCCTTTTGTGAGCTCCCCCCGTACAAGACAAAGCATTTCTGAGAAGTTCACCTAGGCAGCAGCTGAACTGTATAAGCACTGACTCTGGAGAGGTTGTAACCCTACCTAAGTGGCTGATAAAATAGTATTTTTAATGTGAAGGTGAAATAGAAGCCAGCAGGCAACAGCTGAAAAATACTTCTGTTGTGTAAAAGGGTTCTTGTAAACCCCTTTGTCCTGCAGTGAGTAGAGCAAGCTGAAGATGAAAGTGACTTTTGAGCTAAATGTTTTCAGGTTCTTCTGATTCTGGCTGGAGGTGTCTGCTGGCACATGCTTCCCATCCCAGGCTTGCATTTAGTAGCTGTCTGTTCAGATAAGAAATGAGCTTTCATGTCTATGTTCGCAGTAATGGAGTCTTAATGTATGACTGAGTGGTAAGAAAAAGCTTCCAGGAAGAGTCCGCAGCAGCTATAACATTGTTTTATTGTCAGTTCCGCACATACCCTCCAGTACAATTAAAAAAACCACATCTGTTGAGTACAGTGATCCCAAAGCCTGTTTGATGGCCTCTCAGGCTGCAGATTCCTCTAGCAGCATTAGTGCCTGAGGCCACCAGCCTCTACAGGCATGGAACAGAGGCAGAACCCAAAAAAACACCCAACATAAAGGACTTGCACCAGGAAATCAGGTTATTTCAAACCTACTGATAACCTAAGGTTCAGGCCCTTACATAAATATAGCAGCAGAGGTACCACAGTGTCAATCTGAGGGCCAGAGCAGTACCTTAACCAGCTGTAACAGCAGCACTGCCCTCTGTATTGCAGACTGTGGGTGAGGCACAGGGAGCAAATATGGCTTTAGGGGTTACAAGCAAATGCTGGAAAAGTGTTGGCAGCCTTGGTGCCACTATTGGAGAGGTTAATACTGGAAGAGCATCACCGCTTAAGTTAAAGGGCAGGCAGAACTAGACAAAGTTAAAAAAAAGTTCAGATTAAAAGAAAAAGAATCTGAGTTTCTCCACCTTCAGAAAGTAGGCATTGCCTGCATGGTGAGAACAAAACGCTTCCCCCCTGCCCTTCAAGGGAAAACATTCCATCCAGGACCTCAACCGTCAAGTTTGCCATTGGCAGCCCTGAGCAAAGCACGTGAACTTGTAGCATAAGGCTTCTATCAGTAACACTGAAATAAGAACTGAGAGATGGGGGAGCGAGGGGAGGAGCCACCAAAAGCAAGATGCCATCCCAAAGCAGAGTCCCAGTTGGAAAGTCTGAGCCCTTCCCAGACTGCTGCAGGGAGCACAGGTTGGAGACACTGCAGGACACCTGAGGCAGCAGCCCCTAACCTACACAGCAGATGCAGACTTCACACCTCTTGGCAAGAGGTACTAGAGGGCTTCAGCTTCCTGGTTATTGGAGAAAGTCTCCGTAAGTTCACAGAAACTGGTTTCCTTGAAGTGTGTCTCACTAAGGATGGAAGTGAGCAAAAAAGCAGTGGGAAAAGAAAGCTCACTTCTGCGGTTTCATGAAACCCTCCATGGCTGAGTTCTTCAAGACCCCCTGGTCCCACTGCTGGAGGAAAGACAGCCAACATGATGCAAGGATCAGCTCTCTGAGCTCTGCAGCTCCTGCCAGTCTGTCTCACTCTCACATCTGTCCCTTGTTTTGAAAAACTCCTTGATGAGTCTCTGTGCTTCCTCTTTCACTGCAAGAGAGGAAGCACCCCCTTTGAGATGATACTTAAGGCATCTGCCCCCTCTAAAGACATCAATCCATTTAGCATCAAAAGAATCCAAGATTCTTGGTGCTCTCCCCAGCTGCCAACTCACCAGTCTTGCGGGCAGGGTTCTGCTCTTCAGTCAGCAAGTGAGACAGGTGCCGAGCAAAGCCCTTGAACAGTTCCTGCAGAATCGGGGAGGATAAAGAGCAGAAAGCAGACATTGGTTACCTCACCAGGCTGTTCCCACATTTGTCTTGCCCTTAGCACAGGCTGGCTGTAGCACAAACCATTCATAGGTTTAGACTACAGGAGTGTTGTGAACCTGCAACTACACCTGCCCTGCTGGAGAAGCACATGCACACACATGCTGCCTTGCAGAACATATCAAGTAACCTACACCAGAATTACCCTGATCTGTTGCCGCTCCACACGTGGGAGTTCTTAAAAACATGACAGTTTAGTGTGAAAACATGAACAATCACAAACAAGTGTGGAACTAACATGATACCACTCTAAATCACACACAAACCCCTTCCTGGAAGAGGTGACTTGGAAATGAAATGTGGTACCCAGACCATCTCCCCTTTCTTAGAGCCCCAGATCGCTTGGGAGATGCAGTCTCCTTCTACTAAGGAGGGTCTTGAGCTGCGTCCTACCTTGGAAGCAAACTTGCCACCCTTGTAGAATGGGGTCAAATACTTGACAACGATGTCTGCTGTCTCTTTGAGGGACATGCCTTTGGTCACTGGCTGTACGGTCTTGCTGGTTCCTTCTTTATCACACTGTGATAAGTTTGGATCAAAAGTCACCTTCTTCTTTGTGGGACCAACACTTTTGCTTTCTGGCTGGGACAGAATAGAAGATTTTGCCACTGTCCGTAGCCGCTTTGTTGCGGGACTTTCCATATCCTGGAGGTGCGACAGAAGAAAACCAAAAGCACCAATTCCTGTGGCAGCATTACACTTCCAAGCAGCCACTACCTTCTGAGAACATGAATCTTTGCAGCAAATACCATGCAGGAATCTACGTAACCCACTTTGCTATGCCGACATAATACACTATTTCCCACCCAAAGGGACTTTAATAAAAACCCTTTAAGACCTCCACATCTAGAACTACCCTATGCCCTTATTAGGGCAGCTAACTGCTAGACCCCATCCTACACAGGAAAAACTGACAGGAAAAGATTTCCCAGGATATCTGCTGAGAATACACCTCTCAGGAAGAATCAACCACCTCAGGAGCGCCACACTCCTGTCCAACTTGAAAGAGCAAGGAGAAGACTGCACTGTTCAGCAGAGACAGCTGCCAGGCAGTCTCAGATGCCAAATACAGAACCAGAGACAACGGCAAGGAAAGCTGTGATGATGGTCCGGTGTGTGACTGGCCTGTGGTTGTTCCCTTGACTTGAGAAAGCAGCTTGCTAATTATAGTTAGTTACAGATCCAGAGGGGGTGGAGAGACTCATTCCAGGCATGTCATCAGCCAGGGCACAGTCACATGTGTTGCAGGGAAGAGGAAATCAAGCAGAGTGGAGGGGAAGCTTTCCACTGCAGCCTCAGTTGCTGGCAGTGGGTGGCAGGAGGGACACCAAGAGTGCAATGCAACTGTGGTTCTCCTCTCTGCTGCAATTGCAGCTGGGCCTCCCTGGATAACTAACACTATCAGGTGAAGTTCAGACCAGGAACATCACTCCCAGGCAGAAACTTGGCACAAGATGAGCAGAAGAAATAGAGGAAATCATCATTTATTAGAGTCTTACCTCATCTGAGCCTGGTCGTTTGCCACTCTCATCTTCCCCAACAACAGTTAGTTCAGTTTCTGTGATGTTTTCAGCAACACTAGTGGGAAGAGGGGAGAGAAGGGAAATTTTAATCATTCCACAGTGAAGGTACTACTGCGTTCACTGTCAGTGGTCATGAGACTCTCCACGGTAAAGCAAGAGTCTCCTTCACCAGCCTAAAAATCTCATACAGATTCCCAGTTTCCCGGACAAGGCTGGTGGG